CATGCAGTATTTTGAGGCCTTTCAGATGTACCACCCACACACCCTCACCTGCCCTTCCAGGGAAAAGACACGGCCCAATGCGTGCATTCTGCTGGCCAGCTTGTTTGTCTGTGAGGGGCAGGTGGCTCCTACCTTCCAGCTTTCTGAAAGGCGGCTCTTTGGAAAGGCAGATGGGAATCAGTAGTGTGTGGGCAGCTGCAGTTTTGGAGGAGTTGAACAGCCTTGGTCATCACTTTCAAGCCAAAGCTTTCTCTCAGAGCCTCACAACAGTTTTCTGCACCTCGTTGGACAAACCGAACAAATGGCTTATTTCCAGGCGGAAATAAGGGGCTTATTTCCAGCCAATAAGGTTCAGGAACTCTCCGAAAAAGTGCCGAGTGCAATTGTTTCTACTCCAAAAAAACGTTGGCAATGGAACTTGGTGGGTGCCCAGTGCATCCTTGTTTTCCACTGATCGGGGATCAGCTGGTATTGAGCCAGTACAGGCGTTTAATGCCCTGGCAGCCCCAGATGCAAGGGCTGATCACACCTGCTCTAACACCCTGGTTTATTCTCCCTGTTGGATGTTAACAAAACGCTATCTCATCTCATCAAGGGCAATCGGGAATTCAGAAACAGCTATGGAGTATTTTGGCTGCACGATCCTAGGGGAGAAACCGGTCTTCTGTCTCCTTACTGACTTTTCCAAAGGGATCAGAATTCCTGTGCCTTCAAACTGCATTAAACCAATACTGCTGACCCCAAAGGAGTTTAAAAATGCTTTAGGATGAGTGGAAATAACTGGCCATGAAATATTATTTCACTAAACTTTGCTGTTCAAAACAATAAGAACTTCACTAGTCCAAGCACACTGACAGAAATCCTGCAATAGGTGTTTCCTTGGTATTTTGTTCTGTGGAGAATGCTGCCGTAACTACATGAACACCAGCAGGGTAAGATGGAAGCGACAAAAGTGTTGTGGGAATAGACATTTCCCTTGTCTGTGAAACGATAAAGTACTTAGCCCTATGTTAAAGGACCCAAAATGAGGCTGCTGAAATGCCAGGCTGCTGCTCCAGACTAAGCCCCCTGCTTCCCCTAACGTTGGTAGCCAAATAGTCTTTTATACGTTTTAACTCAAGTTTGAAACGAAGGCTAGAATAGCTCTTGGCTGCTCTTTGTAGTGATTGACCTAATTTAAAAGGAAGTATCCTGGATCTCGGAGCTTCATTTTTGTATGGAAGCAATAGGTATTTTAATACCCTTAGAATGATGAGACAAATTACCCAGCACTAAAACTTGAGAGGACCCTAAGCTGCATTTATTTGCATCTCTGGAGGAGTGCAGGCTCTTTAGGCTTTAGGAAATCTACTAACATACTGGGATTTTTCTTAAAAAAAGGTGGTACGTGAATTATGTCTGGTATTTTTTATTGACTGTTCCTCTCTTCAGCACAACCTTTTGTTTACTGCAAAGCATATTCCTCTGCAAGGAGGCAGCTAACCTCAGTGACATTGTTCCAGGATTCAAATATTAAACCAAAGGAAGATCTCCACCTGGAACCTGGATGAAGAGCACCTTACCACCAGAAATCAGTCTCGGTTTCTCTCGGCTACGAGGCTTCTTGATAACAGAGTTCACATGGGGATCTACGTATTTCCCTGTGTTTTTCGGAAGGTGCAAGCACGTCTCACCTGCCATTTCAGGGTGTCGAATAAAAAAAAAAATTCAGTTGTGATTTTTGGAACAAATTGTCAGAGAAAAGGACCAGAGCTCTGCATGAAAGTATGTGGGAGAGGAGGAGCACCAGCAACAAAGACCAAATCCCCAGACTGAATGGAAGAGGAAAGCATGTTGCCCTTATACCGTCCTCCCCAGCCTGAAAAGCAGCTACCAGTTACCTAACTCTAGCTTTATTCTGATGAAATCAATGCTGTTTTGACAGGACTACGTTAGACTTGTAGCACACTGTGATTTAGCAGGGCAATCCTTCTTTAGCTCAAGGTGGCTGTAACGTTTCCAGTACTACTAGGAACTAATAGGCTGCTTCCTTTCTCTCCTTATTAACCACAGACTGCTCTCTACTGGTTTTCTACGTGGCAGAGTTCTCCCCTGAGTTTTTGGAAGGCATGTGCCCAAGCACACCCACACCCCTGCAGCAGGCACTGAGAGCATGTCGGGACAAGGACGTTGACTCTTGGCTCAGCACCCACTGTCGCTGCACAGCTGACCGGTTTCCAAAGCACTGCAAGAGCACTGCCCTTCAGCAAGTGTGGTTCAGTCTGTCACCAGTCCACGGCCAAGTACAGCTCACAGATTACCTCTTCTCTGAACAGATGTAGGAGGATAATAATGGAAAAATTAAAAAAAAAACAAACCCAAACCAACCCCAAAATAAAGGAAAACGACAAGAATTACGAGGCACGTGGAACAGTTTCTGTATGAGAATGGACTACAGAGATGAGGACTGCGATTGACTGTGGAAAATTACGTTTGAACAGTGGTTCTCCCCACTGCATACCCCTTTCTGCAAGGGCTTTCAAATGAGAATGATGTTCCTGGAGAATCTACTTTAGGAGGATCTAAAGCATGTGGAGAATGGTGATCTGGCTGACATGGGTTACCTGTATTTCCAACAGGCTTTTGACAACGTTTCGTATCAATTAGTTTTTTTAAGGAAACCAAGCAGGTAGGGGATAAGAAAGAAGGTCGTGACCTGGAGAGGTGTTTCAAAGATAGGACGAGGGCAGCAGTAAATGGTCAGCTGTCAGAAGAGAGGGAGGTTACAAGCACAGGGATCTGAGCTGTCGGAAATGATCTGGAAAAGGCAATGAGGTTGAGAGAGTTTGCTGATGATACAGATTACGCAGAGGAGGGAGGACAAGGAAAGCAGATTGTGAAGAGTTCTGGAAAAATGGTTGAGTGACTGGGCAATGAGACAGGAAGTGGAATTCAAGTTATGTAAAAGGGTGCACATGAGGAAAAAAATTACCCTAAATTGATGTATAAAATAATGGCCCTTGAGCTGACCATTACCACCGACGGCCAAGATTTAGGGTTGTAACAGATGAAAATGCTAGCTAAAGCAAATATTATGTCAGAGATTATTAGGAAAGGAGCAGAGATATTCATGTGAATCCAAGAGTCACAGAGTTGACTCAGTGTGCACTTGTGGTCCCCTCTCAGTAACAGGATAGTGAGACTGAAGGAGTTCAGAGAAGAGCAACAAGGGTGACATAAGGCCAATGCCTTATCTTGGAAGAACAACTGAGCGGGATGGGACTCCATGGCCTGGGAAGGAGATTATTTAGGAAGGGAGGCAATGCACACCTACAAAACTCTAAGCGCCGCGTAGAAGAACAGATGGGACTGATTATTTGCTGTTGACTGGGAGGAATGAAACAAAGCTCATGGGAACCAGGTGCTTCACCCTTCCCAGGATCCCTCCCCAGTCCAATGCTTCAGGCAAGGAAACAGCTGACCCGCTGAACTGTGCCAAAAAAACCGTGCTGCTTCAAGTTGGCGTGAATTCAAGAGAGGACTGAACAAAATTCAGAGCAGATATCTGTTTGTCTTAGTAAATACAGAGAAAACGTATATAGGTCAGGAAATCCCCCAAACTAAATCTAGCTGTAGCCCAGGACAGCATTCAGGGGAAGTGCTTGCTCTTCCTGGCCTATAACCACTGTGGAGAAAAACCTCAGGGCTGGAGGATCCTTGTTGTGACCCAGCACAGCCACTCTTGTACACTTACATTGCAAACACCCAGTCTAATACAGCCGTGTGCGTGGGAGCTGGCACGCGTCTGCCAGGTAGTGTCAAGAAGTGTATCTTCATCGTATAGTTCAGTCTGAGATCCTTCATCTGACAGTTAAACTCGCTCTGCGATTGATCCAACACAGGAACATTTGGTTTGCCAGTTGCCACTTCTGCTTTTGTATCCATTTCCTCCTTTCTTGAATAGTCTGGCAAGTGAACACAGTGAACATAAGGATGATTCTTCTCCTATATAATTTTAGCATTTGCGTTTGTCCTTCAGTCTGTCTGCGGGTAATATAAAGTTGTTTTTCCTTAAGTCTTTTAGGCAAGAATCTGCTTTCCCCACAACTGAGGTGCGTAACATTTTCCATCTGATTCCCTTTCGCTTTCTTTTTCCTGCACAAGAGTTACTGAGCCAAAGCAAATTTCTTGCTTGCATAACCTAAAGACTTTGACTTGGCAGTGACTCAGAAGACCGTTTCTTATTCAGACCACAGTCTTTTAATATGAAAGTACAAAGCCAGCTGTTAGGTAGGCTGATCAAAGCAAAAAATCATGTAGCGAAGCGAGAAACTCACCCTTTGCCATATGCACAAAAAGGGTTAACAGCTCTCAAGCACAAATATAATCCCGCTAAAGTTCAAGGTTAAAATCACAGATGTTAAGAGCCAAGCAGTAATTTTGTCCCACTAGATCCTGGCTCGTAGATAAGACAGTTCTCCTGCAGGTTTTCAGGGATATGAGGAAACTACATACTTCGCAGATGTGAGCTACATTCTATAAAGAAAGGCAATAACATGCACATATTGCTATATGATATTTGGTGGGGTTTTTTTCCTTTTTTGGTATCTGTCGTAGATTTAATGTTGCTTTGTAAATATGTGGAAAAGCCTAAGGCTGTCCACAAGGCTTTCCAGCCAAGTCACTGTTCAGCTGTACATCCTTTTGCATTATTCATGATCTGATGCCGTAGCGCAAAGGCACGAGCGTGGAGCTCCCATTTAAGAGGACTGGCCATAACAAGGTTGAGCATGGGCAGTACATTCCATGGAAAATAAAAAAAAACCAGTGGCAGCTGGTCCAAAAAGGGTTAAAATCAACTTGGCAATGTATTTTCTGTTTCATAAGCAGCAACGGTATAATCTACCATGAGATACTGCTTGTGTTATCAACCACTTGTAGGCAGGATGTCACTGTTTAGATGAGCAAGGATAATTCTTCACAAGGAGTTTTGCACCCATCACTCAGGAGAATCCCTCAGGAATCAAGACGATAAATGCTGTATTGTCAGTTAAGCTGCTAGCTGTAACACTCAAGATACTTGTAATACATTCAGTTTAGAAGATTAACATTCAGATGTGGAGATAAAGCATCAAAAAGAATGGAGGAAAAATAATCTTCCCTCTGTAGTCTCGTACCTGAACATTACTTGAAATACCACTCGGGAGAGCAGTTTATGGGTTCTTCCTCCCAAAGAGTCTTCAGACGCTGCGCCCAGGCAATCAGCATCTCCTTCCTCTTCTCCTCAGAGGCGTATTCTGGAGCAAAGCAGATGTGTGGTGCGAGGACTCTGACACCACAGAAGTGCATGATTCCATGCTGGACTCAAGGAAAAGAAAGAAATGCCTCAGTCTTTCACTTTTGATTCTAGAATGTGGAAACTTCAAATCTGAAACTGCTTCTCTGACCCAATATAAGGTGAGTTTTTTAAACCTGTGCATTTGTCAGGAGAAGGAAAATAAATTGCAGAAGTTCCTTACCCATCCTGGCAGCCAGTATTGAAGGTTAGGTGTTAAGCACGATGACATACAATACACTGAAAAATAAGGTCAACTTAATTTATCATGCTCTGTGGAATTTGTTTTCAAGTGCTGTTAAACCCACAGAACCGTTCTCTTTGCCTGCCATATGCTATTAAATTTGCAAGGATCAGAGACAGCCTAAAGTCACTGTACTGTCTGAATCTCCACAGACTGTTCCTGAACTGCAGCGTATTTCTCATTGACTTCCAAGTATTTTTTTAACCTCTGGCTTAGCCAAACGATCCCGAATGCAGACTAGAGCCTTTCAAATCAGCTCAACTTGCCATTCTCCCTCTGTGTATTCCTGGATTCACATTTCATGTTTCTTGTCATGTTGATCTGCAAGCTCTGCAGCTAGGGAGCCTCAAAAGGTCAGACAGCTAGCAACCACAACAGGTAGGAGACCACAGAATTTAAGCAAATCCGTTGTATCATATCAAGAAGTAGCTGGCACAATTTGCCTTACCACCTGAATTTCTCAGAGCACGCTTGCTACTTCTGATAAAAGGGAAGCAATAAGGCAAGACACACTAACTTCCGTATGCTGATCATTAATGCCAGGATAACGTGTCACTCCCCCGTTGCCCCGCATCCTACATGAATGGGAAGAAGAAATCCTGCAGGCTGGGGCTAAAGGAAATCCTGTAACACCAGATAAACTTAAAAGGCTGACATCATAAGCTTTCTCCAGATTCCAATTGGGAGCTAGGGGCACAAAATAAGTTTCAAACTATGTGGACTTTTAAAGTAATATCAGGATTTTAGGACCTAATTTATAACATGCAGATGCTTGGAACTGACCATGACATGACATGACATGATATTATATTACATGATATTATATTACGTTATATTACATTATATTATTATATTACATTATATTACACTAAAAATAAACAATAATACAACTGTTAAAAATAATTGGAATAATAAAAATAGAGGCAAATGACAACAAATACTCATGTATTATACCTGCATAGGCCACAGGAGATAGCGAATATCGCCACTGATACCTCCTTTTGCAAACATCTCTCTGCTTCCTCCAGTGGTGAAAGAAAACAGGGCTAATTTGTTCTAGAATTAAGAAAGCAGCACTCGAGTTAGGCATGTTTAGAGAAGAGTGACTGAATAGTTCAGGAGATGGTCAGGGGAATCCCAGACAGCATAAATTTCTAGAGGAGGTGGTGTGTCCTCTTCCTCCCCAGACCACATGTGTAGCGGCAGCTCTGAGGCAAAGACTGACGACGCACAACTCGACAGCGGGTTGTGTGTCGGGGCTTTTTCCAGTGCAGACTCCGAGCTGCCTGGAGGCTGCACTCGGCATACAGCTATGATGGCTGGGGGTTAGTCCTGTTTGCCTCAGTGAGGCAGCCATTTCTGAAGGTTAAACAAACTGGAATTCTTAAGAAGATCAGAAATTACAGAGACTAATACTTAGTGAACATAAATGTGAAACCAATATCGCTTCTGGATGAGGCAGTTGTTACCAAATAAGATCCATCAGACAGTGGGCCAAAATTTTCCAGGGATGTTCCCAGTACTGTGGAGAATTAAAAAATTATGAATTGTCATCTAGAGATAATGATCTTGCCTGATTTCTAAGCTACAGAGAAGAAAAAGTTGAAAGGAGATAGTTGGGCAGAGGCTCAAGCACTGAGTATTTTAGGTTTCTGATTAAGTTTTATAGTTTAATTCCAACCTTTGACACCTTATCCCAGAACAGGGTCTTGCCACCTATTCTAGTATGTCACTCCTTACGGATTTGTGCAGTTCTGTGGTGGTGGGAAGAATGACAGACTGTAGCTTTAGGAAATGGATTGATTTTGACTGTTTGCAAGCTGTATGCCATCCCAGTGCACTCTGATCCACCTACCAAATTGTAAAGCCCGTTTTGTAGGCCAACTAAAGATCTCTAAGGGATTCCTTAAATCTTTAGGAAACACTGCACTCTCCTTATTGTACTACCTTTCGGACAGTTTTAAGAAGCCAAACAGTTACGCAACATGTTACCCAAGCATTATTTCAGGAGAGCGTAAAGCGAGAGCTTTAACCAAATCTAACGGAAAATAAAGACCAATACCTTCAGGAGCATTGTGCAAGTCTTGACCTTAATACAACAGTCTCAAAAACATACCTTGAGTAAACCGGAATCATAGCAGTTTGGAAATTCGTGAGCAAATCCTTGGACCAAGACTCTGTCCATCCAGCCCTTCATGATTGCTGGCATGCTGAACCAATACAAGGGAAACTAGGCAAAAAGTAAATTACCTTGTTAGCACAGAGAGTCTGGGCCATCCTTCGGCCCAGCCTACGGGCCAAAACCTGTTCTCTTAATCTACTCAGACCTTGTACATGGCTCTTTCCAGCTCTCTGTCAGGAGACAGTAAGCATGCTTGGCAAAAATAACTGAAGTGCTTTTCGTTTGTAGTATCTCAGGTACGTTCCTGAGCATCTGCAGCACACCAACACCAAGGTGAATGTGAGGGCTTCCATACAAATTGAAGTTGGGATATGATTCAAATTTAATTTGAATAAATTCAAATTTAAGGCTGTACAGAACTGTGTCTCCCATTGCTGAAATGCAAAAGGAACAGATGACCAAATGGAGAATGTAGCTGAAATGCACACAGAAATCCGGTGATCAGTTCTGATCTGGCAGTCTGCTGACAAATGCCATGGGATTTTAAGAAAGACTCACTTTCACATCCTGCTGGCATAATGACGCTGAATCCCTTCATTGAGAAGAAAACTTCTTCTGGAACAGTAGGACCCTCTGTTTCTAGACCCTCCAGTTACCCATGGGACTACAGCCTAAAGCTGTGGTCTCTTATCTGCATTATCCTGAATGCTTTATGGACTCTTATTCTAGGATGCATTGCTATCCCTAAACCTCTGTACACGCTGTAGTACAGAAGAGGAAATTCTGCAAAAGCTTATCCACGTGTGGTTTAATTCAAGATGGAAACAATGTGGAAACTGGGCAATTGAGTTTAGTCTGTAGTAAATTTTACATTATTTTTTTGTGTCTTTTAGAAGCTTTTTGTCCTTTTTTAATTTTCCTGCACCAGAACATACTCAATTCTTCACAGCATTCTGAAAGTAGAAAGCAACCACTTCCTTCGGGGGATGTTTTACTATACTTATCTCAGAAACAATAGTCTGAAGATGATGAAAACTTACAGTGAAATGCTTTGAGATATGGTCACATCCTAAATTTCATCTAGAACCAGACAGTGGAATATGTACATAGTCTGTGCCTAAGGCAAACTATCACACAAAGAAATGTAAGGCTAGTGTTGCCTTATACAGTACTTCTGGGACTTGTAGACGCCAAGGACAGAGCTGGCATAGCGGGGAACAGAGATGGGGTATAGTGATCTGTTAGCAAGCCCAGATAGAGCTTCTGCAACTCAGCAATAAATGAGGACGGTCTGGTCAGGCAAGTCCAAATTCCCCGAGCCTACTGGCTGCTCCCAGGTGCTCACCCAGAAAATAAGCCTTGCCCTGCTTTCTGCCAGCCTGACACCTGTGGTCACATATGCCTTTCGGCACCCAGATACTGCATGGCCCAGTGCTGGTGAGTTGCTGGATTTGCTGTTGTTTCAATGTGGATAATTGTGCTACTGAAGTACTGGATTTGCTGTTGTAATGACCCGGATAACTGTATTACTGATCTGTATTTGGTACTGTACTTAGGGATAACGTGTTTATTCCAAAAACTGTTGGGTCTGGTGTCTGTTACCGTACCCCAAACCTTTAACTCGTCGGGGCTGCCTTAAGCCCTTACACACATTTCTGCGTGTAGATCTGTGTTTGCTTTGCGTGGGCTCCAGGACAAAGGGCTAGTACTTAGTGGGCCGCCCGATAACACGGCGCGGCTCTCATACTGAGGATTACAGTAGTATTTTGCACTCAATGCTTTCTGGTCTGAGCTGCTCAGCGCAATCCACCTGGAGAGCAGGGAGCGTGAGGACGAGTTTTCACAGACCCTGTGCAATCAGACTACTTTTGAAGTTTAATTTTTAAGTGAAGCACTGCTGTGGCTTTTACTCAAGCATTTTAAGGTTCTAATTTCAGGCAAAAAACGCTAGTGTGGAGCCAGTATTTGTGTGAAAAACTCATACAATGCTAGCACGGCCAATGCTCACGCATGACCTGGCATGTATGATATCTTCCAAAATCTCCATCACAGCAGAAAAACCTGACACCTTGAAATCGCTGTGCTGGACAGAGACTGGTTTATGTTGATGGCAGAGCTACAACCTCTTTCTACTCTGGCTAGATTCAATGTTCCTCATGGAATGTGCAATCTTCTTGCTATTGCTTTTCTTTTGTTCAACCCTGTGTATTACAACTGAAGCCTTTTTAAAATACAATTTCAAATAATGACCTGAAAGATCAGTAAGTCTGCTTCCTTCACCTTCCTTTGCTCTTCAGTCAGGTCACTGGACAAACCTCCTCTCTTGTAAGCTTCCCATGTCTCCGTGCCATAATTGAACTCTTCTGAGTTGTGCAAGCAACCTGGGGGTAGAAGCGAACAGTCACTCCTTGCTCTGTTTCCAGCATTGCAGATGGGGAAGAATTAAATGTGTTGCAGTCTACAGTTGTACACTGAGTTACAGCTTTCCATTTTTCCCTAACTTCCTTTTTTTTTTTTGGTGGATATTCGGCATCATCACAACTGATGGTGATTTGATTTTAAACTGGAGAGGAATGTAGCATCTCAGTACTAAAACTTTCGCCCCTCTGTAGTGTCATATGAAGTGCAATACGAGGACCTAAGCTTGGGTCTAGACTCGGGTGATGCAGGTGGATGATTTAAGAAGATTTGAAAGAATTTTGCTAATTGCACTGCCTCTGCATTAGGGATTACAGAAACCACCCCGCAGTCACAAGCACTACACAGCTGCTTTTCCGTCTCTGTAACTGGGAAATTCAGCAGGGGCTGGGGAACCAGTATTGACCAGTTTTGCTGATTCCACCACAGTTGGGTGAGCTGATTCAAGTATGTCTGAATCAGACATATACATTAATTTTGCTGATTCAAGTAGTAGATCATCAACCTCTGGCAGAAGAGAGAGGCAGTAGTCTCATGAACTAAACTCCAGCAAGTTACAAAACAGGATCTGAAGGCATTTCTCACCTGCGAGAAACTTCAGAGATTGATTGTGGACATGTGCTAATGCATTTTTCCCTTTTAGTAATGTCACTAAGAGACCAGGTTCATATTCAAGAGTGGACTTTTATAAATTATTATGGCCAGTCATTAATAAGTTTCTTCTTGGTTTTGCCTGTGCTTGCATTGGACCTTATTTCTGATTCTTGTTTTAAAGAGTGTCAGCTGTTGCAGAGTATGTTATGAGGCTGGGAGAATGGGGCTTGTTCAGCCTGGACAAGGCTCCGGGGAGACCTTATTGCAGCCTTCCAGTACCTGAAGGGGGCTTACAAGGAAGCTGTGAGGGGACTTTTTGCAAGGGCCTGACAAGGGGTAACGGGTTTAAATTGAAAGTGGGGAGGTTTAGATTGGATATCAGGAAGAAGTTATTCATAGGGAGGGTGGTGAGGCACTGGAACAGGTTGCCCAGAGAAGCTGTGGATGCCCCATCCCTGGAAGTGTTCAAGGCCAGGCTGGATGAGACTTTGAGCAACCTGGTCTAGTGGAAGGTGTCCCTGCCCATGGAAGGGGGTGGAAGTGTGCCCTGCCCATGGAAGGGGGGTTGGAACTAGATGGTCTTTAAGGTCCCTTCCAACCCAAACCATTCTATGGTTCTATGGCTTTATATTTCCTAACCTGGAAAAATACTGGAGCTAAATGCTAGTAAGAGCACAGTGAAAATACCACAGAAGCCTAACAAGAGCATCACTGTTTTTCTCGAGCCTTAACTGTGTCATCTAGTCCATTTTAGTAATCACATACTACCAAGGTGGTCGGGGGGTGCCAAGAAAACTCAAGAGCCCAAGCACTGAAGTGCCTGGAGCTAACTGGCAGAATGCACTTGTAATCTTGTTTGTCAAGGGAATCTCGTTCTCAAAACGTCTCTGCAAACACTGCAAAAATCGTATTTTTCCCTCATTCACTTTAGTCTAAAAGCAAAACACTTTTAAAAATCTCTGCTATGCAGATACTTCATTTTTCTGATTGAGGAGCCATTTCTAGTGATCTGATTTATTTAAAGAAAGATGATACTTGCTGGGTCCCTACACTGACATTTCTTAGTCAGTGCTAACAGAAAATAAAAAAATGCATCTTGTTAGTTGAGGGATATGTGTACAAAATAATAGCAACTATCTTTTGGAGTGCACCTAACAGGATGGTTCTGAATTGTTAATGCAGCAGGATAGACAAGGTTTATTCTTGTTGAAAAAAAGCGTATTTTGGCTAGTCTCACCAACAATGTCATTTCTTGTTGCTCTCGGCTCGAACTGCATTGCATATAAATCAGACACCGTGACACTGCAGCCCTGCTTGCTCAATTCTTCCACAGCAACCCTTTTCAAAGATCCGTTCAAGGACTTGGGCTCTTGATGTGCATACACTATCAGGACTTTTCTCCCTGGAGGCAGAAAGACAACCAGAAGATACCTTTGAGTATAGGAGGCAGGCACAAAACAGTTTGTGGAGCCAGTGCCTGGCCATTTTTCTGTAGTGCGTTTTCCAAGCCGCACAAAACTGGTGAAAGCAGAATGACAGTGGCAGCATTTGATTCCTGCTTGTCAGCGATGAGTGATTCACAAGGAACGAATCAGTAAATGCCCCCACCGAGCAGTTTTGTGCTACGCCGGGCTTGCCTAGGTGAAACTCAGTGGACAGTGGGCGTGTTTCCACAGCAGGTCACACCATCCTACATCAGCACAACCCAGTCTCCCCTCCTGAGTCAGCATTTGTGTTCATCTGATTCCACTACCCACAAAAAAAAAGACTCGCCCAACAACAAAAAAAGGAAGCAAAAAAAAAAAAAATAGCAGTTGTCTGCTGGTTTAGTTCCACTCAGCTGGGTCAAACAAGCTACAGTGCAAGTGTGAGAGGTGGGCTGGGATCAAAGCAGTGCTAGCTTAGAATCCCTGAAACTGTGAACAAGTTCTGAGAGCATCTTCCTACTGCAATACAGCATCCCCTCATCTTCCAGTTCAGTGCTGCTCAGGTGACAACAGCAGGGTAGATGTTTGAGGTGCCACAATCCCACTTCAGCATCATCACAGCAACTCCAGTAGAAAGCAACATGATTTCTTCTTAGATCTGAGCTGCCCAGTGTATCCAAAACTGCTGACAAAGTGGATTTAAGGTAAGCTGAGTGGCAAGAGGGATATGTTAGGATGCAGCTTCGTCAACTGATGTAACGAGGTGTATCAGAGCTTACTTGTTGAAAATTTTAATGTACATAGGCTGTTCAGTGTTAATGCTTCTATAAAAAAAAGAAATCATCCCTTGCTGAACATGAGGGAAAGGTGAAATACTTTTATGGGGTAGTGGTTATTTATACATAAATGCTGCAGAGAGGGAAATTCCCAGGGATTACTGAAAATGACTGGATCTGCAAAACATGCAGCTCTTGGTTCCTAACTGCCAACACAAAACCTCAGGCATCTCCTAAGTTCAGTTTCGTCTGGGGACACAGAAGCTGTATGGCCCAGAGTGACAGGTGTCAGAACCTTAACAGAACCACAGCCAAAGAAACAATACCTCATTTTTAATCTAAATTACAAGGGTTGATTATTTCTCCAGTGTGCCTAGTGCCTGTGAGACAACAGCTTTGCCAAAAAGACTATAACAACGTGTGTAATAGTCAGACGCTATCATAAATTTAACACGTGATAAGCTGTTTAAACCCCTGCTCTGTACCTTACTCTAGAACATGAAGAGCAGTTACCCCCTTTGCTGTTCCTGCTAACTCAGGTTCCATGGCTGGAGATGACACAAGCTCACAGGCATGATATGACTAACGGCAAGCTGCAGGTTCGTTTCCATGTCAGCGGAGCTGAGGGCACTCAGGCACAGTCCTTAGAAAGACCAGAGTTTTCAAAGGCATCGTTTATGGAAGCAATTTCCGTCATTTAAACAAGTAATACCTTAGTACCCCAAGTAAGCATGACAGAGAGCGTGACCAGGCCTGAAGCGAACAGCATCTGTATCAGTCTCTGTTCTTACCTGCCATTTTCCAGGAGCACTGGGTAGCTTCTCCCTTGAGGAACTCCGGCCTATGGACTCAAACGACAAGTTTGCTTATGTGGGAAACACCAGGAAAAGGTACAAGGAAAATCACTGCTTCGCTGCCACCATCCTGGAAACGCACCTGGTCGTAAGGAAGAAGGGGCTGTGGAGGGAAAACAACGCATCAGTGCCGCTGTGTGTGTATATCGTTATCTATACGTCCATCCCTGCGGACATACACACGCAGTGTACACACACACGCGTGTGCATCTTGCTGCACGACCCGCCGGGGGTGGGGGCGCGCGGTTTGCGGTGGCTTTCGGCGCTGAAGAGGCCTCACGCTCGGCCTCCCCCCGCTCTCGGCCGGCCTGGCCCTGAGCGGCGATCACGCCGGCTTC